TGCAAGTTCTCCTGACTATATTAATTTAGATCATCCATTTATAGGTGGCAGTTCAAATAAAAAAGTTTTCTTTATTGATAACAGTAATTATGGATTATACGTTGATACGTTTAATTCAGAATTAAACGAATGGGAAACAAATAACAGCTACAGAGGATTACCAAATGTAAATCTTTTTCTTACAGATTTGAAACAACCCTGGATTGCTAATGAAACAACTGGCATCTCATTCCTTTCAAGAACTTGATACTGGTGTAGTTATATTTGATACAATTAATTTTGCGTGGATAAATAGTACTTCTAGTCCGCAAAATTATTTCCAGTATATTCTGGAATCTATGGATGCATTCCAGTTTTGCTCTCAAATGGTCAAATATTATATATTGGTGGAAATCCAGACGGAATCAATCAACCTTTAATGAGTAGTATATTAACATATGATAGCATAAAAGATTCATGGCGAATCAATGTAAAAAATCATTTAATTTACTAGTTGTTAGTTTAATACTGTAATACTATAATATCAATGAAACAAATTAATTATTTTTTTTTCTTAAATAATAGAATACAACTGGAAAAACACCCGATGAACGTACAGATCATACAGCTGTTTTAAGTACGTGTGTACGTATTGACGAATATAAAGCATTATACGTATTTATTGACATTTTTTATTTTTATTTAGCTTCAGATGGAAGAGTTATTATATATGGTGGAACAAGTATTCTAAATTCATTTTTGCCAGCTATTCCGAGTTTGGCAGTTTTGGACACTTCCAAAACACCTTTTGTGTGGTCAACACCAATAGAAGAAAATTCAATAGGATTTTTAAATAGCTATACATCTGTTATGATTAAAATTATATGATTACAGCTTTTGGTAAGTAATTATAATTTAGTTTAGATGGATATATAATAAGAAATTATTAACATTTATTAACTTTAAAGGTATGAATTCAACTGAAAAGGGCATCAGTATAGGATCTGTTAAGAATATATATAAATTAGATACATCTAATCTATCAAACTATAAATGGTCATTATTATCTAATTATGATGATCAATCTATGCTCATATCAAAAAGTAATTCATCTCAAATTTCTCAAATTACCCCAATTCAACCCAATTCAACCTAATTCAACCTAATTCAACCTCCGATAATGCATCATTTGATAGTTTTGTTAGTACTAGATTAAGCACACACTGGATTGTTACAATTTTAGTTATAGTTATAGCATTTGCATGTTTGTTAATCTTTTTTATTTATAAATTTATTCAGAATAAAAAATAAAACTACTAAATTAATTTTTGGTCAAAAAATATAATAAAATAAAATAGCCTTTTTAAAATAAATACAAGAAAGTAAAAGTAAGTTACATTGATATATTCATTGTACTGTATGTTATTTAATTATATATTATGCTTAAGTTATTATATATTTTTCTAAATAAACGTAATTTCATGAATGTGTTATTATGAATCCCCCTTATATTGATTTACAGGAAAAATTTTAATCGACTAAAAATTAAATTAATTGGCAAGCTATTATTTTCATACGTAGAAAAAAGCTTTACGGCGCGTTTTATCAAATTTAGATAATTTATTTCTCAAATTTAAGTTTTGTAACTAAATTTATTTTTAAGATTGAACCCCTAGAGTTGTTAGATGAAACCTTAAGGTTTAGCATTTATGAATTGATGAAACTGACGAAAGATGACGAAATTGCGAAACTGCAATGGGTAATAAAAGATGAAGAAACGGATCACCTGTTCAAAAATCGATTTTACAAAAAGAAAATGATCATCCATCATCACATAAAATAACTAAAGTCATTCATCATCATGTTAAGTGTAGCCATACTGTTTTGATGATTTTTGGCTTAACGTATGGCTCATTTTGTGATATCCGAATATGATCACATTAAAATAAGTGATGCAATAATATTATTTATTGATATCTAAATTAATTATATAAAATAAGCTTATTGCAGCGTGTTTATATTTAGATATCACTAAACGAGTATGATCCGCCATACGTTTGGCTTGAAAAAATGCTAAATTCGAAAAATTAATTTAAATCCAAAATCATCAAAAAAAGGCACATCTATTATCGATAGCATCATTGTATGCATTGAATATTGGCATTAAAATTCATTGAAAAAATTTAGTTATTAGCTATTCTCAAATTACAGAAAAGTTCCGGATAATATAATTTACCGGTTCTGGTTAACGTAATTGCGCAGCTACCTTATTATGTAAATTTCATGTTGCTACAAGAATCCTGATTATTAATATTAATGTAAATTTTCGGAGAGCTAAACTTGCGATGATAATATCATGAATTCTTGCAGGCTTTCATTTTATAACTTACATACTAATATTAATTACCAGAAAATTACTCAACAAATTTTAGAGTTATTGATTTTTAAATTTGAAATTTTAATGTTGTGTCTTAAAATTTTATAATGATAAAAATAGGGATGTTATCCTGTTTAAACCGATCAGTTTGTGCTTGAAAACCTGCTAAACACCGATTCGAAGCACACGTGCCT